CTTAAACCTCATCATAGAAGCTTATCAGATTGGCCAGGCACAACTTGCCCTTGGTGAATCCATGCTGACTATTCCTGATCACTTTCCCCTCTTTCAAGTGCCTCAAAATGGATTCCTGGACAATCCCCTCCATGATTTTTTTCCCGGGGACTGACTGGTCTATAGTTCCCTGGATTGTCCTTCTTCCCTTTTTAAAAGATGGACACTACATTTGCCTTTTTCCAATCATTCGGGATCTCTCCCGATCGCCACGAGTTTTCAAAGATAATGGCTAAAGGCTCCGCAGTGACATTTGCCAACTCCCTCAGTACCCTCGGATGCATTAAATCTGGACCCATGGATTTGTGTATGTCTAGCTTTTCTAAATAGTTCCTAACTTGTTCTTTCCATACCCTGGGTTGTCCACCTCCTTCCCCTACTGCATTGTCTAGTCGTGCATTAGTCTGGGAGCTGACCTTGTCCGTGAAGACAGAGGCAAAGAAAGCATTGAGTACTTCAGCTTTTCCCACATCATTTGTCACCAGGTTATATTTATATATTTAGACTCCTCCCTAGTCATCTGTCCAAGTTTCCACTTCTTGTAAGCTTCCTTTTTGTTTTAAAGCTCACCAAGGAATCCCTCACCTCTCTGACAACTTTTTTTCCATGTTCTGGAAAACAATTCCATTCTCAAAACTTCCCATTTTTCTGGCACAATCAAAGAGTGGCCTTGCTTTAAGTTAGAATAAGAGGAAGCTGCATACCAAATTTGGTGGCCCTAGCTCTTACCTTTTAGGAGGAGTTCTTGAACAGATGAACTCAGACACACAAATGCACATACACAGATAAACCTCATCCATATATATTAGCCTGCACCTTAACTTTAATTGCGCTAAGGTAACTATACTTGAGCTAACAATTTTAAAAGCAATCTTTTTTGCCCATCAAGGCAGTGCATAAGGAAATGGTTACATAGTATTTTAAATGAAAACAAGACCTAAATGAGACATCCTTCAGTGATGTAGTCCTTCAGTGATGTTTCTCAACCTTTTTTTTTTAATCAAGTACCCCTTAATTTTTTTTAAGTGCTCCCAGTACCTACAGTTTTCAGTCACACACATTTTTTACTACCATTGCAACACATTTGTTTAAACAACTTAATCGTAGCCAGGCAGGTGATGAAATTTTTGGGTGTAAAAAGCACAAAAATAAAGTGCAGTAAAACTTAAAACAAAAATTCAGTTTTCTCCAAATTTCAGTTGTGTTGACAAATCCCCCAGACTTCTCTCGAGTACTCTTAGGGGTACTCGTACCACTGGTTGAAAAACACTGACCTTTGCCAACAGCACTAGTTCTCCCATCAGCATAGGTAATCCACCTCTACAAAGGCACAGCTAGACAGAAAAAAAAATCTGTCAAGCTAGCATTGTCTACATAGTCAGGTAATCTTAAATACATTGTTCAAAGGTGTAGATTTTTCATATGCTGGGTCAGCTTAGCTTGTTAGTGTAGCCCAGGCATTATACAGTGCTGTTGAGTTCTGATTTAACATACAGAATGTTTACTTTAAAAGAAATGAACGGAAATATTTTAAGTTCCCCACACATTTACTATATCATGTTCATTATTAGAACTTTACTTCTTCAGTTTCATTTCCAATATAACTATTAGATCAGAGGAGAAGCCCTAGCAAGAAATACAACAAAAAAGTTAGGACTAAACCAGGAAACAGTATAAAAGGTCCATAGCTAAAAAAACAGGATCAAGAATAAAGTAAAGGCTCATCCTACAGTGCCAACATTCTGGAGGTCACACATGCCTCCTAGGCTGTGTGTACACTCGCTGCGCGAGAAATATGCTAACGAGCAGGGCTCAACAAATAATACAATCTACTCGCCTGTGGCGAGTAGATAGCAACCCAGAAGAGCTGGGTTCGGGCGATCTGCGCATGCGCAGATTGCCGGACAGTGCAGCTGGCAAGTGGGGCTAACCATGGTTCAACAAGCCCTGCTAATGAAGCTAAGTGTCGAATATCGCCACGCCTCATTTGCATACCTAATGAGCCGCCATTTTTGCAGAAGAGGCTCTTACGCCAGAAGGAGCTGTCTACACTGGCCCTTCTTCTGCAAGAAAAACCCTCTCGCACAATGCTTCTATGCCGATTATTTTCGGGAAACAGCATTGCGCAAGAGGGTTTTTCTTGCAGAAGAAGGGGCAGTGTAGACAGCTCCTTCTGGTGCAAGAGCCTCTTCTGCAAAAATGGCAGCTCATTAGGTATGCAAATGAGGCTTGGCAATAGTACACGCTTAAGTCTCATTTGCATATTTCTCACGCAAGAAGCCGTGAGTGTAGACATAGCCCTAGAGTAATGGGAAAACTTGAAAGCCATTTATGAATACCAACATGCATTCACAATCAGGCAAGTTAAAGATAGTGCCATATTTAAGGTTGAATTCACTTCATTATGGATTGCATTCAAAACAGAATTACTTAAACTCAAAAACTGCTACTGTAATGATAAATATTGTGAGGTGTAATTGTATTTGTAATTGAAAGGTAAGAAAAAAGACACTAGAACACTAACATACTTGTTTTAAAGTTAACACCTTTAACCGGATTCCTCCCTATAATCATCGTAAGTATTCAATGATTATGCATATTTTATTAAATTTCGCTCTAAACCAATTATACAAGCTTAAAACCAAATTTCAGAAGTTGCTATAGCAAGTTCAAGATATGCAAATAATAGATTCAAGAGTCTGAAAAATTATATTATATTGTATTGCATTTAATTCTTTACCAGATCCCAGATTATCTACTACTGTCTACAGCCAGGTACAGAAGCACACTGTTCCCTAGTAATCTGTGAGTAAGAAGGTAAGGAGAGAGGTATTACAATATTTATTAAGTTTAGTAAGAGCAAGTTGTAGGAAGCTGGTAAGACATTTGAACACTATGAAATAGCTAGCCACTTAAGGAATTTTCAAAGTTTGTGACTGTTTCTCCATTAAGCTCACAGATACCCAACTGTTACAGAAAAGCAGAAGGAATTATACCTACACAAAGTACAGTACACTTGATGGTAACAATGAGTATAAAATGAGTGACAGAAGATTTATGGAGGTTGCCTTATTGACAGTGACAGAGAAAAGACATTTTCATATACTACAGGTTACCTGAAAGTAAAAGAGGCAATACTATGACACATTTTCACTGGTAGCCAAGATTTCATAAATATACTTAAAAAAACCCAGTGAACTCAAGTCTAAGATTGCATATTTTAATTAGTTGACTTGGCAATATATTTCTTTACGTAAACATACCCAATCATTTCTACTGTAAGAGTCAACCACATTATTAGCAACAGGAAAAAAATACAACAGGCACTGAAGTTAGTTGTATTTTAGCAATTCAACTGATTTGGCAGAAAACTGCCCAATTATTAATCTCATCTTGTCAATACAGGCAGTCCCCGGGTTACGTACAAAATAGGGACTGTAGGTTTGTTCTTAAGTTTAATCTGTATGTAAGTCAGAACTGGCGGTCAGTTTCAGCAGCGGCTAAATCTGGACGCCAGTTCTGACTTACATACAGATTCAACTTAAGAACCCCAAGCATCCCCAAGTCAGCTGCCGCTGAAACTGATCAGCAGCTGATTCCAGGAAGCCTGGGGCAGAGCAACTCTGCCTCGGGCTTCCTGTAGTCAGCGCTGGTCAGTTTCAGCAGTGGCTGACTTGGAGACGCCTGGGGCAGAGAAGCTGGGGTGCTGCTGGGTTGGTCCAGTAGCGCTGAGGAGCGGCGCTACTGGAGCAACCCAGCAGCACCCCAGCTGCTCTGCCCCAGGGTCCACAACAAAAGCCTGATCTGCTGGGGGGGGGGCACACTAGCTGCGCCCCCCCCCCACAGCAGACCAGGGACACGGGGAGCAAAGCCGCAGCGGCGGTGGGGTCCCGCGCCTCTGAGGCTTTGCTCCCCGTGCCCCTGGTCTGCTGGGGACCGTCTCCAGCAGACCAGGGACAACAGGAGCAAAGCTGCAGCCGCGGCGCAAAGAGACGGTCTGCTGGAGACGGTCCCCAGCAGACCAGGGGCACGGGGAGCAAAGCCGCAGCGGCGGTGGGGTCCCGCGCCTCTGAGGCTTTGCTCCCCGTGCCCCTGGTCTGCTGGGGACCGTCTCCAGCAGACCAGGGACAACAGGAGCAAAGCTGCAGCCGCGGCGCAAAGAGACGGTCTGCTGGAGACGGTCCCCAGGAGACTAGGGGCACCGGGAGCAGCTTTTCTCGCCCCAGAGGTTGAGGTGGCGGGACCGCTGCCTGCGAGCTCCGGGGCGAGAAAGCTCCATTCGTAAGTGCGGATCCGACATAAGTCGGATCCACGTAAGTCGGGGACTGCCTGTACACTGTTACAAAAACTGCAGTTTTAATTTTTACCCTTACATTTAGTATTCTTAACTTCAGCTTGGTTGAAACATACTTGGTTAGCACTATGTAAATCATGGTTTTAAAATGTAAGCATTACTATTTGAAAGCCCAGGAAGGACGTAAAGCTTCAGTGATCTCTAAGGCAAATACAACAGTAATGAATCCAGAAGCTACTTTACAACAGAATAAAAAAAAAAAAAGTTTTGTAACCTTTGGTCAAGTGCTGATTTAAGGCTTCAACATACTAGATGTATATTTCCAGGGAAGTGAGAAGAGGTTTGCCAGAGCTATCACTTATCAGAGCTATCCACTTTGCAAAATCAAACTTTCATTTAAAATAAAATTATCTAGTACTTATGGCTGCCAAAAAATGTCCAAACATAAACCACATATACAGATGTAGTCCCATCATGAATCTGAAGACAACTCACTGCTGCTCATCATATCTTCTCTAAGCAGCAAAATGAAACATTTATCACTACCAGAGTTTGTGAGAATTTTGCACATGACAGTGAAACTATCAACAATTAGAACAATTTCATGATGTTGCTTTTTATAGCTGCAGGCAGAAGCATACACAAGTTACTCATTAGAGAGGAATACCTAGCTTATGGTTGTTGGGGAACTGCATCAGAGACTTCTTCCATTTCTTCCAGTACAATATAGCTATGAGACTCTCTGGTAATAGCAGACATTTTTCTGTTGTCAACAATCAGGAAAGACAGAAATAAGAAGGGATGAAGTACCATTAGCCCTTCATTTTTCATCTCTTGCTGATAGGATTAGTAACTGTCCATCTAGTAAGTGTCTGGTAGATGTTTCAAGACCCAATTTGTCGCTTGTCCTCATGGGGAAATTAAAGTCTACAGTTATACTGCTGTAGCTATAATATGTCTATCTAGACAAGTTCTTAAATAGCTCAGAACTCCAGTGGGAGAGAATAAACTTGAGTTCAAAGAGTCCAAGTGAAAAAAAAATTCTTTGCAGATTCAAACTAAATATCACAAAATCAATCTGGTTCAATATGTAGGTTTGTAGATTTAGGACAAAAGTCTAGATTAGAACAAGAATAGTATGTGCACTGCAGATCGGGATTAAGACACATTGGTAGAGCTGTTTGAAAAGCATTTGTGCAGTAACTACCTGCATCATGGCTGGTTCACCCCGTACTATTAGTCTTGTTTACATCTGAATTAAGTTTCTCCCTCTTAAAATTATTGCCATTATCTCATTTATCTGACAATTCAGCTTTTAGGTTCAACATTCTGTGAAAAATAAAACCATTAACTGAGCTATCTAAATAGAAAGTTACTACCAAAGCAGAAGATGTGTAAACTGATGTATAAAGAATATTCCTCTTTGAAAAAACAGAACAGGTTTTCGCTTATGTACATGAAACCCTGAATACATATTCACAGAGACTAAATTTATTAACGTATGTTATTCTTGATCAAAAGACCTCCCCTGCTCTTAAGACTTATCCACAGTAGGGAAAAAGGCTACGTTTTTGTTCAACATGATAGTTGGACCTTAATATAGAGAGGCAAATTGCTGTCTGTGCTGGCTAGCTCTGGTGAACTCTAAGCTCCCCACAAGGAGCCTCAGAAGGTAGTGTAGCATAACCTTGTACCCACAGGTGTGGGCAGTCATCTGATGAGTTTTGACTCTGGATCGTCTCAATCAGAAGAGAGGCCAGAGTGCCTCAATCTATCCCTATGCCTCAGCCACCCCCATCAACTTCCATGCATTTTTCTTCTTTTACCTCTCTCTCTCTCTCTCTGTTTAGCTAATCCTCTAACATTTTTAATAGACTGTAGTATTAACATGACAAATGCAAGTCATCATTCTGCTGGCATATTATAACTTATTCTTATCCTCCTGCCCCATCACACACCCACCCTTTTACCTGTTTCCTCTATTCAGACTGTACACTTGTCAGGACAGGGACTGTTTACAACGCTGCATACTATCTACTACAGTGGGGCCCTGTTCTCAGCTAGCCCCCAGGCACTACTGTAAACAACGGAGTCTGCTAGAAAGTCTACCAACAGGCCATATTTTGAACAGTAAAGCAAATAATTTCTTTCTTTAAACGATCAAATTATAAGATTGTCTTTTACATTAAACAGCTATGCAATTTAACTTGCTAGACAAAAAAAGAATCAAAAACCCCAAACGCATCTTTTTAAACATGAACTTCTCGGATTCCTAAGACAAGCCAGACTTCTTTTTTTTTTTTTTTTTGCAGCATCGACAAAAAGAAATTAGTAGAGCAGGAAAAACAAATTTTTTAAGGCCTCTATAAAACACTGGAGTAGACCACATTCTCCTAAAATACCCCACTAAAAGAAAATCAATGACAGCCATGAGAAATGGATGCCAAATATACATAGTGAGTACTCTTTCATGGAAATTTAAAATGCCCGCATTTTTGGTCATGAAGGCCTATTACTTCAATTGAAGCATGTATTATAGACACACACCAAAAGCAAATTCAGGAGATTATTTTGGGCTAATTAACAACAAAAGAACACAACACCTTTAACCTCCCTGAGGAGACAAGGTTTTGGCGTCCATGCCAATGAGACGGTTAAAAATAACTGTACGTCTCCATCAGCTGAACTGCCCCCACAGTTTGAGGCAACTCCGTCAGCGGAGCCTACGCTGATCCCTCTCCCCCACCGTCACTCTAGCACTCACACAGGAAAGGCCTGACCCACCCCACACAACACACGGGCCCGTTCACCCGAGACCCTTTTATCTGCCTCCCATCGCACCGTTAGCACCAGCCGCAGCTTCGCACAACCGACACCTTAGGGCGGACAATACAGACTTCTCCCTTCCCCAGCGCCTCCCTCCCCCTCTCCCCCATCTACGCTCCATCCCCACCCGGGGACCCCAACGTACCTGGGACATTAAGGCCGAGGGAGGGGGCGCTGGGCGGGGTAACAGCCCCCAGCAAGGGGAAGGGAGAACAAGGAAGAGGCGCCGTCAGCCACCGGAAGGACCCTGCTCAGCTCGTCTTGGCCCGGCCCAGCAGGCCCCGGCTTTCTTCTCCGCTACGCCCGCTCCCGTGGCCCGCCGCCCCTCACGCACCGCCCGCAACGCGGCCCTCGCGCCGCTGGCCGAATCCCCGCTCGAAGCCGCCCGGGGCCCGGCGAAAGTGCAGCCTAAGGCGGTTGAGGTTTTGTCTGCTGCGCAGCCCCCTGCGCGGACCGCCGCTGCCAAGCCCTCCCTCCCCAGGCGCGGCACGACACTTAGTGCTGCTTTACAGCAGCCTGCAAAGCGCAGCCGCTGCGCCAAGCACCCCTCCTTCCGTGCGGCTCCTCCGCCTGGGCGGGGCTTCGGGTAGCATGGCATGTGCTGAAGAGCGCCATCTTTTGGGCGGAGGCGGGAATGGCAGCGGCAGCCACCGCGAGGGCCGCTGTGCTGAGCCCACGGCTGGCTTGTGGAGGGTGGGAGCGCTCAGGATGGCCGTGAGAAGGGCAGAGTGGCAAGCAGTTTCGCCAGAGCCAAAACACATCATGCGATTGGCTCAGTCAGAAATCACTAGCTATTGTTAAATAAATTAGGGTATTTGTGGTTTCCTAGCCTCTCAGATGCACTCCCTTCATCTTAAAAAATAACAAATAGTTTGGTATCACTTTAACAAAACTTTAAAGTGCTACTAAACTGTTAGTTTCTTTTACGTTTTTCCTGTTACAGACTAACTGGGCTACCCTTCTGAATCGCTTCATCTTGTTCTGCAACCAAGAAGACTAGGTGCTTACTTTAAAATAGCTCAGAGATCAGTGATGTATACACCTGCAAGAAGAAGTCTGCAGCATTCTCTTCTTTATTATGAAGGCTCAATCAGTGAAGTTTCTGGTGCTGGATTCAGACCTATGCTAAAGCATTTTTCATTAACTGGTACCGAACAGTTTTCTCATTTCACAATACAAATAAATAAAGATGTATTATAAAAAGTACAGAGAATCTTGCCAACTTAGTTTTTCTCATTTACTCAGTATCACCTAGTTAAAAAGTCAAGAGATTCATCTCTCTATGCTCTGGTAGAGCTTAGTTCAACTACATATGGGATGGGTCCTTGTCCCTCATTGGATGATTGATGCCAGTGAAGAATACCTGGGCTCTTTATTATAATGGTACACCAGTTCCACTATGGTTAAGATTAAGACCAGCTTTCAGGTTAAAACCTAGCTGTTCTAAGTGCTCTGAAATCTGCAATGTCTCAGATTGTCTTGAATTTTGGTGTTTCATGGAAGTCCAGGGTTTGACAAGCGATCCAAATTTGTGGTCATTTGAACCAAGGGTTCCTAAGATACAACCTCCCACAAAAATAAATCAGCTTTCTTACAGTCCACAAGTTCTGCCAACAACAAATTTTTGCTCACAGACAGAAATCAACTCAGGACTGAAATTATCAGACCATAGGGTTGCCAGATAGTTTCAACAAAAATATCAGACACTTGACATTACATCACAATCTACATTACATCTCATTTAGAAAATACCGGACATTCATATTTTCTCATTTATATTTTCTCAATTTGTTTCCCAAACAGAAAGCTCAAATACTGGACTGTCCAGTTCAAAACCGGACACCTGGCAACCCTATCAGACCAGAGTCTCAAAATTGTACGTTACCCCAATAAATTACAATGTTATTAACCAAAGACTTTAGTCCTCCTGCTAGGAGTAGCACTCCTTGAAATGCTTGGTAATATCTCAAGCGACGGGCAGCCTAAGATAGCAGGCTGCATGAGTGGCTCTCCTTCATCTCAGCAGGCAACAAGAATGTTGTAACCAAGATGGTCTACTGGCATAGAGTAGATTTGCTAACTGTGCTTGCATATCTAGAATTTGCAGGGTGTGTCAATTGAACTGTACCAGCACTTTGATTGGATGCAAAGGGAGCACACAGCTCTCACAGTCAATGTTGGGTGCAGTCAGCATGCACCTCACCTCAAGAGCCCTCACTTTACCTGTGTCACTTTAATAACCGGAGGAACCAGTGTAATTTGGCAACTGTGCACATGTGTGAAGCCTTCCCCCTTCACACAAATTTCATAGTTTGTCAGGCTGTTTATTCCTCTCCTGTGGATTTTCTTTTCGTTCAGAACATCTCTAAAGTGTTAAATGGACCATTCACCTCTGAGCCTGATGATGATGTGTGGGTACCAACCCACAACCAAATGAGATGGAGAGGATAAGCTGAAAATATTTGGGGAGGTGAGCACAAGGCAGAGTACAAGACTCTCAGCAACACTCTGCTCTAATATGCCTAAAAAGTTAGTTCAACCACCATGTTAGAGGACATTCTAGACTGGTGATCATATGGCATCCATGGATTCTCCCAGGGCCCATTAACGACTTCACATGGAAAACATTCTTAAGTATGACCATTATCCACAGTCCACTATATCAAACTGTGCAGGAGGTAGGAGGAGCAATTAGGAATCACAACTATATGGCCCACTGGAAAGGCCAATGGTTCAGAACTATTCTGAGCTCTGCCACTGACCTGCTGAGTGACCTTGGGAAAGTAATTTAATTGTTTTTTTTGCCTCAGTTTCCCCATCTGTAAAATATGAAGTAATGATGTAATGTTAGCTCCTGATATGAAGGGCTGTAAAAATGTGGTTGACAATTACCTAACCTCAGCAGTGTATCAACTGCAAACCTAGGTGAAAATGAAGCTAAGAAATTAAATGCCAAAAATTTTATTAATGCAGAGTTAAAGTCACCTAATGATACCTTGTGACCTTCCAGAATGTTAAGTTCGGCAAAACAAATTTCTGAAAACCAAGAAATACAGAGTTATGGTATATATCTACACCAGTGGTCCCCAACCTTTTCAGGTTGTCGGGTGCCAGGGGGCGTGGCTGTTCGCCCACAGGGCACCAGGGGGCGGGGACACTTGCCCGCCCGGGGGCGGCCCACCCA